TTTTTTTTTTTTTTTCCCTAGACATTGGCTCTGCTGCATCCATGGATGTAAGTTTTGTGCACTATTTCATCAGCCATGGTTTTACTACAGACATGTACATGCAGAATGTCAGATTGTGCCTCTGCTCCTCTTCAGCTGCTGCTGTTAATGATAAACTGGGAGGTAACTGCTGCTTTGTCTGGTTTGGAAAGATTTTGTGGGCTGGTTGTATCTCCAGCATTCTTCAGACCACAATTTCAATACAGAAAAACATTCAGGCTAGAGTGATGGGAGACAATGACAGTCATTTGAAATGAGGTTTGGCAACAAATTTGCTGACAAATGCTTCGGGATAATGCTTGTGGAGAGAAGTATGCTCTCAGAGATGTGACTTGTTAATTCAGTCTGAGGGAAGCAGGTTCAGACCCGTCATTTACTGGAGCCCATTATAGGACTTAATCTGAAGATTTTGACGTATTTCCAAGACAAATATGCTACTAAGAGTACGACATGTTCAATAAGGTGTGTGCTCTAGGAAATGAGGACTGTAATTGCCATACTGAAAGAGCTTGTTGTCTGTGCAATTTAATAACCTTCTCCTAGCAGTGTCCCTTCTGACGCAACTTGATTCAGAGATGAATCATGCCAAGCAAGTGGCAAGTGTCTTTATCATCACATAGCAGACTTGACCAAATGGTTACTGCTTATTATTGGCAGATACTGTAGGATTTGAGCCCTACAGTGTAAAACACTAGGAATTACATCTCCTGTAGTGCTTGAGCCTATTCATTAAACATCATGGGGATGTTTATAGTTTCCTTCTTACTCTGCAAATCACAGCACTGGCCCAAATTTTTCAGCACGAGTTTTCTCTTTGCTTGTAACAATGAGTTAGACTGAAATTCTTTCCAAGTAGCTCTGCTCTGCAAGACAGCTTAGGACAGAAACAAAAGTACAATACCATTTGTCCTTAGCCAGCACTTAACCAAGACACACTTACTTAGCCTTTATAATCTTTCTTTGGGAAAAAGTTTCCCCTGCCAGGTAAGAATTCCTGTCACTGTTTTCTGACCTCTGTCCAACTTCTAATTTTCCCACCTGATACGGAGCGAGCAAAACAAAATTGGCTATCTTGGCTGCAGCCCACATCATTAAGAAAAAAAATGTGGAGTGACAGAAGTACAAAGACATAGGCAACTTATTTTGTGCAGTGTTGCAAAAACAAAAGAAATATTCACAAAGATACAGGGTGTGAAAATTAGAAACACTTTTTAAGATTGTAAAACCTGCAAAATACTGAATAATATGCTACATGTAACATTTTTCTCCTGTAGTAATTCAGAGGTACCATCATATGATAACTGAGCTTTAAGGAAACAACCAAGTCATCTTAAAATCAAACCACTAGTCTAAGATCAGTAATATCTAAGATCAGTAATATCTAGGTAAAGCATTGCCTTGCACCTCATTTACAATATGAGCCACCATTCCTTATTTTAATACTTGTTTATGTATCCAGGCTCTCTAAGGTGTCAGCAAAGTTGCAGAGGAGTGCAGTTTCATCCATAGGATCTTGCTTAATGATTATGATGTAAGACAGCAAGTGTTTGGGCCAAATCTTCTCAGACACATAAGCTTTGCTTATCTCTATAGATGTACTTTGCAATGTTGTTTTACTGCATTACTTTATGCATTAATGCATTACTTTAGAGCTCCATGGAATACTGGAGCTTCTGCCTACCAGCACATCCACAAGAACAATTTTTTGTTTGTATTAGCTTAGAGCACCTTTCCGTAAGAGGTTGCCTAAGAAGATTTGCTTCTTATACAGTTCTGGTGTTCTATGTGGTGCTTTTTGCAAGGCGTACTTCTTGCAGATGCCTGCAATTGAGTAATTGGATGACTGGTAGTGTTACAGTCTGGTTTTAAAATCTGTATGTCCATTCACTGTTTGTGAAGTGGCAGAAAATAAGCGTTATTAAGATAAATTCTCTAACCTAACACATGAGAAATTTTGTTTCCCTACACACAGGGGACAGTGTGCTCTTCTGAACACCCAGTGCTAACAACAAATACTACCATTTAGAGAAAGGGATTTTAATACATCAGCTGGAGTTTGCAAAAAACTTCTAGCATCCCAAACTGTTAATCTGAAAAATTTGTAGAAGAATGTATAGCATAGTCAGTGATTATGACTTAAACTACTCATGCTAAGTGTTAGATCAGCATGGTTTGGGTGGATACAGTTGTTGTCAAGTAAAGAATAACAACCCAGCCCATCACAGACACCCGTGGTTTGTTTACAAAAGGTCCATGACCTATCCACCTATCTAGGGCCCACTTGCCTCTTGGTATCCAAGGAGAATTGAGCTCATCCCTTCCACAGATTCCAGGTAGGGCAGACCAGCCTTAAAGACTGAGAGTGTGCCCTGTGAGTATCCTCAGAGGACATCTCTAATGTAAAAAACAAATGACTTCAAAACAGTATGTGGTATCAGTGTGAATATGGTAAATGTTTCGGGATATAGTAAATGGTCAGTTATCTTTTTCTCTCTTTTTTTTTTTTTTTCCTTCTTGAAAAGCCAACGAAAGATAAATTCAGTTTTTCATTCCCTCTCCACGTCAAAGCTCCTTTTGGGCCTTAAAGCAACGTTTGAAAGCACGGCTAAGTTTCTTTGAGGACATCAGCGCTGTGGAGACTCCAAACTCCTCTTCCCACCAGGCAACCCACACAAACAGGACGCTGATTTATTTATTTATTTTTATCGTGGCCCCGCGCCCCCGCAGTGGCTCCCCGAGGTGGGAGCCAACAACCTCCCGGTACACCGAGTGGCTCTTGCGGATGGTCCTGAGCAGGGCCAGGGGTTGGACTCGAGGACCCTTGTGGGTCGCTGAGTCTCCGCGAACCAGGCTGGGCTTTGCCAGGTCTGAAGGTTTCCCAAGGCGCTCTCCACCTTTCCCCGCACTCGGCGCCCCCGAGGGCTCGGACAGCCCGAGCAGGAGCGGTCCCCGGCTGTCGCTAGGCCCTGCCCTGCGCTGGAGCAGCGGCAGGCAGCGCTGCAGGAGGAGCAGGAGCCCGGGCAGCCCTCCGTGCTTTATTTAGCAGCTCATTTCTGTCCCATTCCACCCCTCCTCAGCCGCTCCGGAAGCCGCCGCTCGGTCTGCCCGGAACCTTGGGAGCCGGAACGCATTTTGGCGGCGCGGGGGCCGGGCCGGAGCGCGGTGCCGGCGGAGCCCCGGGGAAGATGGCGGCGGCCGTGGCGGGCCCACGTGGGCGCGGGGCGGCGGCGGGCGCGGGCACGGACAGCGGTAAAGGGGGCCGGGAGGGGTGGAGCGGGGCCTCTTCTCTTCTTGTAAAGCCTCTGTGTCCCTCACTGTGGGCCGTCTTTGGCCCTGGCGGTCTCTTCTCTCTGCCCCACCCGAGCCCGCTGGTGGGTCCGAGGCTCTTCGTCCCCCCACCCTCTCCGGACTCTGGGCCGGGACTTGGAGCCGTCTTCGGGGGGGAATGGGAGCTCAGGCCCCGGTACGGCC